GATACAAGTAGATTTTATACAGTTGTAAAATATACTCTGGTTAGAATAATTTTTATAACTGAAAATTTAAATATATTAACTTACTGGGACAATTTAGTTAGCATAGAATTCTATGATGATTCTTGATTGATAACATTATCCTACATGGTTCAGAGTCAAACCAGAAAAATAATTTTATTGTACTTTATTTTTTGGTTTATTTAGTGAAAGTTAAAAGTATGTGTAGAGGTTTTTCAAATGATTACTGTAATAAAATAACTTCATACAAGGTAAAATTTCTGTTACTTCCTGGTAAAATCAGTTCATAAGGATTATGGAAAACAGTGAATTTTATGATTATGTTGGAGTGGCTAAGGTTGGTCTCAAACAAGGGGTAATGAGAAGTGCAATTAAATATAAATTGGGAAATTACATTTATGGAGTCATACAAGTATGATTTTTTCATGTCATCTTGATCCTAAGATCACAAAACACATGTTTGTTAAAGTATATAAGAAACATTTTTATAGTTTTAGGCATAAAAATAGGCTTTCTAGTTTTAAGGCTTCATTTTTATGATTATTTTAGCTGGCTTTCAATGAGCACTCACTTGGTAACATTACTATGGAATTTAGTTCAGGATGATTTATATATAGTAATCATGGTTATGTGTTTGTCAGAAAAGCTTATCCTAATTTGAGTAACAGATCTCTATGTCATCATAATTCATGATGGAACATAGCCCTGTTATAATATCTATGATTGAATGTACACAGCTTCATTATAATAGAATAATGCACCATTTGTTATTTTAACATTATATAGAATATTGATAGATGATATTTTGCATTTGAAGATAATTAACTTATTAGAATGATTTTTGCTTGTTCATGAATTTCTAGACTCAGTTAGGGCCATAGTAAAGGATGTAGCAGATAAGAGGGTACAATTTAAGTGAGATCTATGTCATGGCTTTACCCAAATAAGAAGTAATTTGTGGGTGAATCTGAACATCTTTAACTTAATGATAGGAAAGATGTCTATGAACAGAAAACACTGCTTTATGCTGTGTTTAAAGAGTTGTGGTTATATAGTGTAAAGACTCTACTCAAGACACACGATGGACTAATATGCCATTGTGTATCTAAAAGATCTAGCAAGGCAGATATCTAATGGAAAATTTCTGTTGGGTAATTTGAATTGTATTGTACATATTCTAAATATCATTATAATTTAAATCCATAAGTCATGTGTTTATATGAAATTATTTGTCTTTAACATTTGTACCACATCTTTATTAACATAATTTATAGGGGTTTTATTACATGAAATATGTGAAATGTAAAATTTCTGCTGTTCTTGATATGTGTGATTGTCCCATGTATTTACATGTATGTGAATACAGTTTTATATACATATTAACTCATAAGTATCTATACTTAATTAAAACAATAGTCACTAAAATGAAAGATTAGAACTTTTGGTTTCACCAGAGATTATTATGGTTTCAAAAGTGGTTTGATAACAGCAATTGTTTTTTGTGTTTGTTCTTTGTGAACTGTGAAATGTTAAGGGCCAACATTGTTTTTAATTTTGTTCATTGTGAATGGTGAAATGTTAAGTAAGGGCCAATATTGCTTTTAATTGGAATTGCTGTATCATACAGTTATAGTTATCAAACACCAGGTTTCTATCAGTGAATCTTCCATGCTTCCATACATCAGTCATGTTATTAGAAATTAAGTCAGTGAGCTACATAAGATTTGATCACCATCCCCCTGTTTACATGTTTGTGGGACTTCGTATTGCATAGTGCAGACTTTCTAACTAGTCCCGTCGAATTCTTAGCTTGTTAATGTGTTTTTATACATTTTTTAAAAAATCTGACCTTAGTGGTGTTTAACTACTGCTAAAGTAATAAACAAACTGTAGAGTGTCTCAAATTCTTTCATTTGTAGAAACACCAACTGCCATGCACGTGGTGTTACTAATATCTGTTCAGTCATAACATTAGAGTTATCATAGTATTTTTTACTTCATTTATATGAGGTTTATTTGTGTGTATATGTATCATACTACTTTGTACTTAATTTATATGAGGTTTATTTGTGTGTATATGTATCATACTACTTTACTTAATTTATATGAGGTTTATTTGTGTGTATATGTATCATACTACTTTGTACTTAATTTATATGAGGTTTATTTGTGTGTGTGTATGTATCATACTACTTTGTACTTAATTTATATGAGGTTTATTTGTGTGTATATGTATCATACTACTTTGTACTTAATTTATATGAGGTTTATTTGTGTGTGTGTATGTATCATACTACTTTGTACTTAATTTATATGAGGTTTATTTGTGTGTATATATGTATATAGATACATTGTGTATATATACAGATAGTTTTATGTATATTCAGATACTTATGCCTATATATATCATTTTTATTCAATTTTCTGAATGTATTTTACTTTTAAAATTTAAATTGTTTTTGTGTGTTAAAATGTAATGTACTAAGTCTCTAATGTGTCAAATGTATGTAGTGAATTTATATTAAAAATTTCAGGAATCGATGTTAACACATGTATTAAGAAATTGTGTTTAAAACAGTTGGCCTGTAATAGATTTTAAAATTTCTGCTGTTCTTGATATAAGTGTGATTGTCCCATGTATTTACATGTATGTGAATAGTTTTATGTACATATTAACTCATAAGTATTTATACTCAATTAAGACAATAGTCACTAAAATGAAAAATTAGAACTTTTGGTTTCACCAGAGATTATTATATGGTTTCATAAGTGGTATTATAACAGCAATTTTTTTATGTTCATTGTGAATGGTGAAATGTTAAGTAAGGGCCAACATTGCTTTTAATTGGAATTGCTGTATCATACGGTTATAGTAATCAAACACCAGGTTTCTATCAGTGAATCTTCCATGCTTCCATGCATCAGTCATGTTATTAGAAATTAAGTCAGTGAGCTACATAAGATTTGATCACCATCCCCCTGTTTACATGTTTGTGGGACTTCGTATTGTATAGTACAGACTTTCTAACTAGTCCCGTCAAATTCTCACCTTGTTTCTGTATTTGTTTTTATTCATTTTTTAAAAAAATCTGACCTCATGGTGTTTAACTACTGCTGAAATAATAGAATAACTCTAGAGTGTCTCAAATTCTTACATTTGTAGAAACACCAACAACTGCCATATGCACATGGTGTTAATACCTGTTCAGTCATAACATTAGAGGTATCATACTATTTTGTACTTAATTTATATGAGGTTTATTTGTGTGTGTATATATATATATATAGATACATTGTATATATATACAGATAGCTTTATGTATATTCAGATACTTTTGCCTATGTATATCATTTTTTCAATTTTCTGAATGAATTTTACTTTATAAATTTATAAATTCTTTTTGTGTGTTCAAATGTAATGTGCTAAGCCTTTATAATGTGTCAAATGTATGTAGTGAATTTATATTAAAATTTTCAGGACTAGATGTTAACATATGTATTAAGAAAAAATGTGTTTAAAATAGTTGGCCTGTAATAGATTTTAAAATGTATATGGTTTTAGGAAAAGAAATTATTTTTGCTGATAAAATATTCATATTTATAGATTTCATTTAGTGATGTGATCGTTCATTTGAGTGATGTTGAATTACCTAAACATTGTTAAGAAAGGACACTTATGTGTTTACATATCTCTTATAGAAATGTAAAATACAATATATATTTACAAATATGAGTGTATAGTCTACCATGATGTCTTTTCAGCTACTAAATTATGAGTGTAACTCAAGCATAAAACTTAAGGTGTCACTTTTTTGAAAATTATGTATATTGTATAAGGAGCATGTACTATCATTTTATTTTTCTGGCCACAGATATTTGTGTATATTTTTCCAAAAGATACCTCAAAATTACATAGGTATATATCCATCTGATACCTGGCAAAATGTAACATTGTAAGGAATGAGCTATTTTTATCAAACAGCTTGTATTTCTACAGGTGTAAATATCATGTAAATATCATTGTCTTTTACAATTTATATGACCAACTGATAGTTTCTAAGGGGGAAACATAGAGCTCAGTGTTTCATATTTGTTTGAATGCCAGAGTAGAAAGTTAAACACTAACATTTTCTACTCCATCCTCCTAGTAGCCTAGTTGACCTTTTTTTCTACTTTTTGTCAAATTTCATGAAGATTTTGTACTACCTCTTAGGACACTGCAAAGTTTTGTATGTGTTTCCTGGTTGCATGACAATATTCAAGACAACTTTGTAAATAATATTGAAATACAGCATTTGAAGGTCTTGTCTGTCAAGACGAACAAGAGTGCCACAGGGTATAAATTTGAGTACATCATTGGAAACCTTTGCTTTTCATTTCTGGTTGAGAACTTATCACATTTTATGTTTATTACTTATTGATGGTAGAGTAATAAGATTTAATTTAACTTTGGCTACTTATCTCAAGATAATTCATTTCCCATAGGATATAATTAAGGCTTATGGTACATGTAAGGGCATAAATCTTCATTCTGTACCTCTAGTAATGATAGACTATTAATGTAAATATTTCTTTCTAGTCCTTGTAAGAAACATCTATTAAAAGAGTTTCTTCTACCTCCTTGAATTAATACATTATTATGTTCACATTGCATAGCAGCTTTCAAGACAAGTTGTAAATAACTGATACATCTTTCCATTTGAAAAATGCATTTTCAGATGCATATTCACAACAAAAGATAAACCTGTAAATATTACATTTAGTACTACTCAGTGTATTAAGTATAAAATTCTGAGTAAGCTATTTTTGCTTGGAGAAAAATTACTTAAAGAAAACTAGATTTATTTTCATGAAAGATGTATTGTGACAAGTAATTCAAATTTTAAGTTAAGTTGAGAATTGCTAAAGGCATAGTTTCTTGATTCTAACCAAGGCACACTTGTTTTTCCTTATGTAATTAGGTAATAAGGTATTTCACATACCTTATAGTAGTAATGTGTAATGTTTGATTTTTTTAACCTGTATTCCAACTTTACAAAATAAAATAACTTTATAAAATAACTTATTTCTAGTTTGCAATCTCAGTGCAATTACTAGACACATTTTGTGATAATAAAGAGTCTATAACTTTGTAAATTTATAAATTTTGGTTTCTGAGATACGGTTTCAATACATAAAAGTTTAAAAATTGTTTAATATTTATATATTTTTCATCAGAGATTATTAACGTTGGATATCTATTGTTCCCTCTGAAGTACTTTAAGAAAAAGTAGGCTATATGATATATAAGGCAATATTAGTTACGGAGTAGAGTTCGGCTGTATGCGGAACACCAACCAGCACCTACCAAGAGAGACCATGCGCAGCTGCACATCCATTTGCGACATCCTGGGCTATCAAGGGCTATCAAGATACTGTCAGCAGAAAGTATGGAAGCAGAAGAACCGAACCCCTCCCTACAGGAACAGAAGTATAAGAATATGTATTTTATCATTTCCGTTTCTCAAATTTAATAACACAAGGCCTGTAGCTTAAGATGATTATAATATAACATTTAAAATATTGTTTTTCAATAGAAGTGGGGTTTGTGGTATTGTAATTGAAGAAAAGAACAATTTACATATAGATACATTTTAGTTTTCAAACTAAGGTATATAATTAAGAATACTAATAATACGTGGGTGATTGATTTGTTTAAGGTAGACAATGTATATCTGCTTTGAGATTGCCATCTAGAATAAATGAAAAATTTAGGCAAACAGAAAACATGTTCTCTAAAGAGAAAGGAGTAAGACTACTTCTGTCTTTGTATATTTTAAGGTCTTTGCTAATAAGCATCTTAACAACAAGAAATAGACCTTTTTTTCCCAGTAGCATTGATTGTCAACGTCCCGGGAGTGATGGGTTGCCTTATTCCAAAGTTCTGTTTTTGAACACTCGAGGATCTCATGTGACAGCAAAGAGTATTGCGTTAGCCACGTGAGTATTAAACTGATTATATTTCAAGCGATGAACCAATGAGCGAAACTGAGAAAACATTGATTGATAATGGCATTATTCCTCATGGATATGGGATGGTATAATAGATAAAGCTTTTGCATGGCACCTTCAGATAGGTTGTAGCAAGTTTTCCTATTACATATTTGTACATGGACTGTAACACAGGGTAAGAAGCATGCTAAAGTAAAATCTGAGCTAATAAACTTAGCCATTCCAATTATATAAGGAAAGACTAGATTGTTCCTTCGTTGCATGCGTTTGATTTGCTTCAGGAATCTACTTTATTTTTTCAGGAAGTCATGACGACAGACTTCTTAAATCTACGTTTGTGATCAACTTTTGGAGTTGAAGACAAATTACTTTTAAAGTGTTATCTGCAGCCTAGAGGTAAACAAGGACTTTAATTTTATTAATTTAGTACAGCAAAGTAATTTTCTTTCCAACTTTATTATTTCCACACGTTTGAATTTTCTTATTTAAAGAAATCATTTTTCCAGTGGCTGGAATCTAACCACATCACCAGTCTTCCTGATACAGTCTTATTAAAATTAACAATTATTTAATAAAATTATGACTTTATGCATGTACAGATGGGTTTGAGCTTACCTTTTTGATTAGTTTTGTGAGTTGGAAAAAACATGTTAATAATGGTCTAGAATAAATGGTGTATTAGTGAAATGTGGATACTGCTCTTATAAAGGCCCTGAATTTAGTTCTCTGAACCCATGCTTAGTAATATAGAACCATCATATACATCTACATCAAAAAACACTCAAACTTAATCTCAAATATATATGATCCAAGTATTTCTTTGGTCTCATTCTTGAGTGAACATGGCAACAAGAGCATCATGCTGGTGATCACATTATATGCAGAAACCTGAGTGACCAGGACAAGGAGAATAGATGGGGAAATGGTTCAATAAACAATGTATGATTACTTGAAAATGTTTATGCTTAACAAGGTAGCAAGTTATTGAATATACAAAATGAAAAATCTTAAGATCAATACTAATGTGCTCATCTGTGATAAGATATTTTGATTGACTAATACTCATGGGCCTAATGAATAAGAAATATGTTTTTATATAAACATAAAAATGCTTTACTTTATTGTTCTGAATTTCTTCCTTTGCGCTTTCAGGTATTCACCGAAATGGATAATCATTGTTTATACAAGATTGCTAATTGGAAAAAGGTCTAGAAGGTGTGGAATGAATGCTCTTACCAATCATTAAAATTGAACTAGCTATTTGGATGGAGACTGGAAGATGTCTTTGAAGACTTTTATATATATTTAAAGACTTTTGCTGTTTCTGATGAACTAACTCAAGAAAAGTATGATGACACTGACCTTAACTTCAGTGTTTTCGGCGCTGCTCATAATGACTGCAGGGTAATTTTGAACCTGACTGAAAGTTCAGTTATAACTGATCATAAATTTATAAAGAACTTTTACCTTGTTTTGCCTTTTCAAATGGTTTGACTTCATAGCATAGCCTGCGTTGTACTGAGCTGAAACAGTATTGTGTGAAACATTTTTAGTTACTTTATTGATTTTTTTTTTTCTACTTCTCATGTACATTAGATCCATGTATATCTTTCTTGGACCTCATTGTTTAGGTTCGCTATTGTCATTTGTAGGCTTGTTTTCATTGCTTTATGTTTAAATATCACTTATGAGACATGTAATAATTGTCTTTCTTTGTCTGGGTTACCTCATTCAAAATGTTTTCTAGCTCCATCCATTTGCCTGCATATTTCAAGATGTCATTTTTTTGTTGTTGTTGTGTAGTGCTCCATTGTGTAATTGTACCACATTTCCATTCTTTGAGGGCCATTTAGGTTGCATGAAGCTTTTTATTACCTTTAAAATTCATCAAGATTTTAATATACAGTGAGTTCTGTTACTTTGGGGAGCATTTTTTATAAATATATGAATGCATCTTTCATCTGTTGAGAGTAGCTGTTTATTTTCTATGTAGCACTGATCCTTGTAAAAATATGAACCTTAGAGCTATTTCATCGTTTCTATTTTCATGTACCATGGCAAAGTATATAAAATCTAAATTTGAATAAGTGTATTTGATCATTTACTAAAATTATAAATGTTTTAGTTAACAGTGGTATGTGAATTTGTTGTAATATATTATAAAGTGCTATTTATTAAATACCATTAAATCATCATGCTATTTCATTTATTCTTTTGAGTTTCCATACTGAGTGTCTCTTATTTATAACTTCATTTGTAAATGAGTCTGTAAACAAGTCATGTATGTCAAATAAAATACTGCATGTTTTGTATTTTCTTTGTTTTGTTACTATTTTGTACATAAATAAATACAACCATGTTCTCAAATACAATCATGTTTTCTCATGTGTCATTGGAGTCATTTTTTTTCTTTTGAAAGCATGTTTATGTTCACACCATTTTTATCTGTGTCATCCCTAATTTCTCATCAGATATTTTCCATTAGTTTTGCCCTATATTAATGTGCTAGATAAAAGTAATATTTACTTTGACTTACACTTTTACAGTCTTACAAATCAAGCATATAGAAACATAATTTGCTGCATGCCTGTTGTTATTGTCATTTATACTGTCTTACCTATTCTATTGAGTTCAGCCTCCTTTCTCTTCTTTTTCAGAATATTTCCTGTAGTCAAATTAATGTTCATACTTGTCAAGTTGGAAAAAAATGCAGCTTTAATTTTGTTTGCACCACATTTAATAGATTTAAGTAGGACAGAATAGATTAAGTTGAGTCTTCCTATACTACTTCAAGGTATGTCTTCTATCTGTAACTAAATGTTTTCATTACCATATCATATTTATGGTATATGGAATTTATTTTTACATCCTTTCCCATATTATACTGTAGTGCATGTTGGACCTCTAACCTTCAGTAATCTTCCTACCTCTGCATATCCCTGAAATTCTATTTAGTATTTCCCAGTGTTCTGATCCCGTTCCTGGAGAGGTGTCTAAGTGATTCAAAGTACCTAATGTGTTTGCAGAGTGGGTTCTAGTCCCAACTCTTAAGTTGTCTCAGGTTGTAGCTAAAGCTCCAAAATATCTATTTCCTCTCTTCTCTGTGGGAAGCTGGATTCATAGACACATATATTACAAGCAAGATTTTTGCTTGCGCAAAGCCAGTTTACTATAACTTTCCTCTGCATGAAATACTGTGGTTGCTCAGGTAGTAAATAATGGAATGTTAATTTTCCCTGTCTTGTGGATTTCCTGTGTAGTTAGCTACTGCTGCTGTGAATTCCCCGAAATAGCACCCATGATTAATCACAAAAACATTTCTCAGATATTTTCATAATTTGGTCTAATGCCCAGCATCCAAAGGCACTCAAGGTACATTGTTCAGATATCTCTATGTACAGACTGCTATATGTATGATACAAAAAGATTTTTCTGACATAAAATAGAAAAAGTGGTTGTTAATCTTAACAGTCATGTACCATGGGATTCTTTGTAGCTGGCACCCTGACTTTTTAGCTTGCATTGTTTATAGCTTTCTAAGACCATACATGGATAAGTTTTTAACACATACCACTTTCCAGCACTGAGATACATGGCTTCTGGGAGCAGCGTACTCTGCATTCAAGATCCCTCAAACTCTTTGAAAAATTATGCCAGTCTCCTTTCATGACATGTCCTGTCTTTAATGACAGACCCATTGTAGCTTTCAAACCTCTCCAGGTATTTCATAGTAAATCACAAAACAAAAATTCCATGTTTGCATTTTAGTGAAAGAGAAAGTGAGGAATTTGTCTTCCTGGAACTTTTACAGCTCTATAACATTCTACCATTACCCGGTAATTATCCTCTTCATCAGATAAATGTCAAGGCAATGTCAATTATCTAGTTATTGATGGTAGGGCATCAGAGTATATTTGTGTGATTATCTCTGAAGCAGTCTTATTTCCAGGATTGGCAAAGTTTAATTCCATGGAAGCTCTCCTCTGTACCTTTCACTTTTCAGAGAGATTCACACTGATTTCCTCTGTGTCGTATTTTTGATAGGACTGTTTCTTTAAAAGAGTTTTTTAGTAATCTTTTATGGTGAAGATGTCCCCCATCTGCTTACTTTAACATCAATTTATTTTGCCATATGCATGCATAATACCTTGTCCTTGACTGAATGCACCATATGTGAACATACCTCCTTCCAAAGATTTGTGTTCAGGGAATCAAAATCATAGTCACTTCCAAGACTGCCAAACGTCTACTTGCCAGGAAAACAGATTAATAATCAATATTTAAGGGTTGTTTCTTAATCATAAAGTCAGGAAACAGGCATATTAACACAATAAGTATAAGTAGAAAAAAGGAAAGGAAAAATATTAGAAAAGTAGTAACAACAGGGAAATGAAAGGGAGTGAAAATAACGATTTCTTGAATTTTAGAGGTAATGCTTTGCAATCAGATAATTGAATAAATATCCTGTTGTTGGAGGGTAAGGCACAAGTACTCTGAAGAACAGGTACAATGTAATTTAAATAAGAGAAAGATAGTAACGTTATAGGGGGAAAGAAAAATAAGGAAGGAAGGTAAGGAATTTGGAAGAAAGGGGAGAAAAGGAAAGAAAGAAAAAAGTATAGGTTAAAAGCAGAACAGGGACCCAGTTACTTTGGGTATTAAAGTAGATGGGGTAGGTACGGGAAAGAAAGACAGATGGATAAATAGGGTATGGAAACTGTGATATGGTCCCACTGGAGCAGGGAAAAGGTATTAGTATCCATTTCAAAATAGAAAGATTCTCCCTCCTCCAGCAACTACCCACTACCAAAAGCACTTTGGAAGGAAAGTAGCTTAAAGGCTATCTATTCATTCCGTCTGAGGTGGGATTTTGGCTGGCTTGATCTTTTGTAAGTAACCCCATCTTTCCTCATTACAAGCCCGCAATACTCTCCACAACCTTGCCTCTTACATTCTTACACAATGTCCATGAGTCTTAGTGTTGATGGTGTTAATGTACTTCTACCATGTGAAACTGAGCATCCAATGTTTTTATCCTCATATCTTTAGCATGTTAACAAGTAGTGTATCTCTCCATTAACCACTGCAAAAAAAAAAAAAAGCCACACCAACCCTTCTGGTGTAAGTTGAGGTCTCCCCAAATCTGTGGGCCTAATCATAAATATTCAAAAGGGAACTTGGTGTTATGCTTGTATAGCAAAATAACAATATCCATTTCTAACCTAGGACTTAAGACTTCTTCAACTGTGGGCATTTGAGAATTACAGAGTGACAGGCATTAAATTACCTCTAGTGGAATGGACTCCATCCATTCAGAATACAGTAGAGGAAATAGATTCATCAGTCAAAAAAATGTTAAATCCAACAAATTCTTCCCACAAAATATCCAGAAAATCTGGGACATCATTAAAAGACCAAAATAATAGGGATAGAAGTCCAGCTCAAAGGCACAGAAAATATATTAAACAAAATCATAGATGAAAACTTTCCCAGACTAAAGAAGGAAATGCTTATGAAGTACCAGAAACGTACAGAACACAATTAGATGGGACCAAAAAAAAGTCCCCTACCACATAAAAATCAAAACACTAAAGAGAATAAAGAAAGAATATTAAGAAATTTAAAGGGAAAAGGCCAAGTACCATATAAAGGCAGACCTATCAGAAGTACACCCAACTTTTCAATGGAAAATCTGAAAGTCAGACGGTCTTGGATAGATGTTCTGAAGAAACCAAGAGACCACAGATGCCGGCACAGATGACTGTACCCAGCAAAGTTTTCAATTAACAACAGACAGAGAAAACAAGATACTTTCTGTCAAAAATTTTATGTGGTATAACTAGCTAGACAATTACTGATGCATACCACTGAGTGTGTCACTAGTACAGGGCTGAGACTCCACTCACTAAATATCTCTCGCTAGTTAGAACTAGCAAAAGGCCAGAGTGTATGAAGTGCAACAATCACTTCCTTAAGTGAATTGAAGCAATTTATGTAGTAAGTCTCATTTGTCTATTTCTATGACAAATATTTGATCTTAAAAGATAGTTATTTGCGTAACAACTGCTCATGTTTCATGGTTGAGCCAGAATAAAGCAACTGTAGCACAATTCCAAATTCTAAACTGTCATATGTGACAGAGGTAGTAATCACTATTTGTACAGACGTGTTTATGACCTCCAGTTGCAGCAAGGATTATGTCGTTAGCCCTTATGAGATTCTCACTTATATTTTTGTCTTTCCTACACTACTTGTGTCCTGAAGATCAGTTTCTCATTTGCCTTATGTTCCTTGATTGGCTTTGAGAGAGGCAGAGAGAATCTCTAAAAATAATTTTAGAGATTTATTTATCCAGTCTTGTTTATTCATAGAGCTTAGGTTTAAAGAAATCAACATAGTTTTAAGATTTGTTGTAATAAATTTAATTTATTTGGATATCTGTTTGTCTATCAATGCCACAAGTATGCAAGTGTTTGAGGAGCAAAGATTTTATTGGATCCGCTGGAACTTGAGTTGGTGTGAGCTCCACAACATGGGTACAAGGAACCAAACTTGGGTCATTCAGAAGAGTAGCAAGTCTTTTCATCTCTGAGCTATCTCTCTAGCACTCAAATATGTTTTTGTTTTGTTTGTTTGCTTGTTTCGTAGATATGTAATAGATAGCTTACCTAGTATACATGAGAGCCTGGATACAATTCTTAGTTTCATGCACCTGGTAGTATAAACACATAATGTTTCATGTGCTTGTGTCTGCAGTAGCCTACATATGCATATACGTCTATTTTCCATGGCTCACAAAGAAGTATTGATAAATGGTGCCAATAAGGGTACTGTTGTGTAATAATGAAATCCCATATGGAACAAAGGTGCTATGAGACTCATTGCATATTCTTTTGCATGATCATTCAATTTTATCATATTAAGACAAAATGTTGGTTGCTATCACTTCAAGCTGAGTAGATGGGAGGCTGAGAATTCAAGTGGAATTCTATAGAAAGAAACAATCAGGAGAGGGTAATATTTCATGCTTGCAACTCTAGCACTTAGGAGGTTAAATAAGGAGGGTGAGTTTAAGTACAGCATGGCTGCTTAGTGTGTGTCTGTGGATACAAACCAATAAACAAAACTGCTAGGTTTCAGTGGATGTTTCAATGATAATCAGTGATGTCAGGCAGGAAATATTGATTATCAGTTAAGCGCACATGGTGCTCATTCACAGAACCTATGTGCTGCTTCTAGTACCCACAATGTAGCCCATACTCATCTGTAGCTTCAGTTCCAGGAGACCTTATGTACTCTCCAAGCCCTAGGCAGGCACAAGCTTGCAAGCAAAGCACTCATATGCATTAAATTGAAATAAATTACAGAAAAAAAAATTGGAAAGGAAGCTGGAGTGGTAACAGCTGATAAGAGCACTTGTTGCTATTGCAGGGGACCTAAGTTCATCTCTAAGCACCTATCTTGGATATTTTCCAATTGCTTATAACTCCAGTTGTAGGTGATCCAACACCCTTCCCTGGCATTCATGGGCAATGAACTGATGTTCACACAAGCATATAGAAAGACAGACACGTATACACAGAATTTGAAAAGTTTGAATAAATGTTGGGATCAGTGTATAGACAAATCTGCCATATATATATATATATATATATATATATATATATATATATATATTCTAAAGAATCTTTATAAAATCCTTATATAATCATTCTTGATTTAAAACAGAACACTATAAAAAGGTGACCCATATAAAAACAAACTAATATTACAAATCATGTGTAAAGTTGAAAAAATACAAAGAGCTGAATGGTGAAATCACAGTAGTTTTCACTAACCAAAGTGTTTTGATATTTAAAAAAATCAAAAATTGCAAATTACTACAAAATTGACACACTAATCAAGATTATTTTCCATTTTACCTTAATTACTATTAGAGCCTATTCTTTTTTTGTTGTTTTTTTTTTGTTTTGTTTTTTGGTTTTTCGAGACAGGGTTTCTCTGTGGCTTTGGAGCCTGTCCTGGAACTAGCTCTTGTAGACCAGGCTGGTCTCGAACTCACAGAGATCCGCCTGCCTCTGCCTCCCGAGTGCTGGGATTAAAGGTGTGTGCCAATATCGCCCGGCCTAGAGACTATTCTTATGCATCCCAGGCTGACCTTCAATGAGTTATGTAGCAAAGGATAGCCATTTAACTTTTGATTCCCCTGCCCCTACTTTAGGAGGATTCTGGGATTGCAGTCATGTATTACAGAGACAGGTCATGTGGTTCTGAGGCTCAAACTCAGAGATTCCTGTGGCTCAACAACTACTCTACCAATTGAACTATTACATCCCTAGCTAAAGGTAAACTTTTATATTTTCATCATTTAGAGCCTGGCATCATAGCCAATTCCCGTATTCCCAGTACTCCAGGAGTTGATTTAGGAGGATTACAAGAATGCAAGACCATCGTAAACTATATAACACACGTGGTATGGTGACTTCCACCTTCAATCCTAGTGTTCAGGATGCTGAGGCTGAAAAAAACACTGAGAATTCAAAGACAGTCTGAAATACATATTGAGTTCCAGTTTAGGCTAGAATATGTATAAAGTAGCAATACTAAAAAACTACATAAAATTGTAACAATTGGGTACTCTTGGATGTTGTATACGTCAGTCAACAACTTTATGGCTACATTCTTGTCATAGTATGTGCTATTTTGCTTTCATCTTTTTTACAGCTTTACTGTTTTCAATATAAGAAATAAGTCTTTAAGCTGAGGAATTTTGGTTTATGCTTACAAGTTCAAATACAGGGAGGCTTATTCAGTTCCATTTTTGATTTAATAGGCTAGGTTACATCCAGAAAAAAATAATTCATGCTTTTATATACTTTATAGCCTGTTGCTTTCATTTCAATATAAATCAGTGTTTTTATTTTTGTAGACTTTCTTCTTCGAAAGACCTCACAAGTGTCACTGCATTTATTGTATTATTATTATTATTATTATTATTATTATTATTATTATTATTATTTATTTTCAAGACAGGGTTTCTCCTTAGCTTTTGGTTCCTGTCCTGGAACTAGCTCTTGTAGACCAGGCTGGTCTCGAACTCACAGAGATCTGCCTGCCTCTGCCTCCCGAGTGCTGGGATAAAAGGCGTGCGCCACCACCACCCGGCCTTGTTGTATTATTTATAAAATTTTGTCTAATATTATATTCAATCTACTATGTTTATAATAGTTGAAGATAGCATATATGAATTTGAATTTCTTTAAACATATAAAAGATCAGATTGTGAAGTGATTTTCGGACTTAATAGAAATAAGTTTTCCTAAATTTTGATTCAGTTTTTACATGAGCATCATATGCATTTCGACTTATTTTATTTGTCTATTATTTCCGTAGAATGCAGTTTGCCTCTAATCCGGGAATAGTGTTGCACAACTGTCATCCCTAGCTCCTTACAACTCAACACAGAGAGGCTGAAGGCCTGAGGCCAGCTTGGCAACTCTGAGACCTCTTCTCCACATCTCAACAACAAAAAAGGTGATATTATAATCTTTTATCTGTATATTCAGTAAATTTAAAATTTTTAAGTCTCAATAAATGTATCAGAATAAATCAATGGTGGAAGCAGATAACAGAAGAACTGAACGATGTAAAAACATGTCTCAAAAAGATAATGGGATGTAACTTTGCTTCATATTGCACAAGGGGGGGGTTATGTTTTACGTTTAAATTACTGTTCTTAAGCCAGTAAAATTAAAATTTAAGTCAGGCAGCAATCAGGGAGACAGAGGCAGGCCAATCTCTGAATTTATGGCTAGCCTGGTGTATAGAGTGAGTTCCAGGACATCCTGGATACACAGAGAAAGTCTGTCAAAGAAATTAATCTACCATCTTTCAATTTAGCCTCAAGCAGATTGATAGGAGAAAGGGAAAAATAGCAAATTCTTTGCCAAAATATTCCACCACGGCCCCTAGCCATGGTGCCAGCATTATTCTCCCACAAAACCTCCTGATAGACCTCCATAATCCACATCACCTTCTGAACTATCATCTTCCAAACTTCAAGATACACCTTGCTTTCATTACTCAATGACTTTCCATCAAATTCTTACACATTCTTCCAAAACAAAACAGTGTAGTAAGGCCTATCACTGCAATACCTCACCCCCGGTGCCCACTTCTGTCTTAGCTGCTATTTAGTTGCTATGACAAAACATCATAAGCAAGGAGAGTTTTCAAAGATGCTGTTCCCTAGAGTCTTACTGTTTCAGAGGGTAAGTCCACGACCATCATGGCAGCCGGCAGTGACTTTTATTCAAAACACTGCACTTTGTATCAGCTAAAGTTGCAAGGAAACTTTTAGGCATTCAGAGACAATAGATATGTATTTGATTTTGTTTTTCTCAGAGCCAGGGATTCCTCTATGCATACTGGAAAGTATTTCCTTAGAATATTAATGAATATAGTACATATTTTAACCCACTAGTTGCTAACTAATAACTTATATAGGAAATGTTAGGTCCAAAAAATAGAAATAGATTAAATAGTATAGAAACTATTTATAATAAGAAATAAAAAAAGAAATGAAAATAATCATTTTTAAGGTTTATTTATTAGGTAGTTTTTGCCTGCATGTACACAGGCATGCCAGAAGAGGTCACCAGATCCCATTATAGATGGTCATGAGCCAACCTGTGGCTGCAGGGAATTGAACTCTGGATTTTTCTTGAAAGAGCAGTCAGTGCTGTTAACTTCTGAATCATCCATCTCTCTAGCCCTGATAACAATCATTTTTTATGGAGTACTTTTTATTGCCTTTAGAATTAGAAGCTGTTTTTATGGCGTTCTCGTAAAAACTCTTTGAGAATGATTTCTATCTCCTGGAAACCACATAACCTGTTATTCATTTTACTTAAAATATACATTTTTGTGCTTTCCTAGGTGGTGACCATCTTGATAAACACACCAAAAATACCTTCTGAAAAGGCTTTGTCTACAGGATCTCCCAAGTACAGTTATTAAATTGATTGTTTCTGGAGTCCCTTATCATCTCACAACTTGCACAGGAGACTTCAGTGGAATAGAAACGGTCTGCTTTGGGCAAGTAACTGACTGGAATGTTCAGTTCTTTTGCTTTCAGTACATCTCGTATTCTCATATTGTATGTTACCTATTTTCTCTTTCATATTTCACTTTTTGAGCAGAAGAGACTTTTGTGTGGGGGTTGTACAATTAATGTGCACAGATTATTTTTTTTTTTTACGATACTTCAGATGGTAACAAGGTTTTCGGAGCAATTGAGTTTACCTGCACACCAGTTTTGTTATCATTTGTGAGACGGTTTCCTCCTCCTTTAAACAAGAAATGCAGATTTTAGGCAGGCCCCAAGAAGATTCTCTTACATAATGTGTTCTCTAGAGAAGGTCCTCTGGCTGCTGCTTTACTGACGTTAATGACCTCTGTCTGGGGCAGAAGTACAAGTTTCTGTGGTTTGCCTTTTCTTCAATACCCCAACTGCAGACGTCAATGCCATTGAAACTATGAATATGTAAAGAAATGTAAGCCTTGCACTGACGAGGCGAGACATGGGGCTGCTATCTTGTAGAATGTGTGGCATCATCATTTTATCGGTATTCCCCATGTCCTTTTAGGTCACTGTATCAAAGACATTTGAATTATTACACTTGTTCCTGCTTAACCTAAGTGAAGTTAATATACAGGACTTTTTTTTAAAAAAAGTATTAGTTATTTGCTTCTAGACCATAAGTCATGCTGTTCATTGGGGAAATACTATCTGCATCTCTCAATATCTTTTAATAGTTGTTAAGTCTAAGAACACTTGCTAAGAGTTTTTAAAGTGTGTGTGCATGTATGTCTTCTTGTGAGTATGTTCATGTTCGGTATCTGCAGAGGTCAGAAATGAAAGCAGTCCCCCTAAAGCTGGAGTTTGAGGTGAGCCATGATTGCTCAACCCCCAGATATTTTAAGATTATTTACTAATTCCTTTCATTGAATGAAAGTTGGTGTGATTTACCAGCACATTGTTTAATAGGAGCCAGTAAGATGTCTCCCTGGAAAAAGAGATTTCCATCAAAGCCCCGATGTATATCTCTGGAAGCCAGGTGGGAAAGAATATAGCAGAGAACAGAATACTTAATGGATTTTTTTTTAATCTCGTAAATTTGGAGTACAACTCAAGTCTTTTTACTTAGTATATTATTGTAAGGTTTCAGCTGGATTCTTGCCCTCTTCTGTGTTTTTTAATAAGGCCCATTTAGTTTACACGCGGTGGAATCCCCTTTTTAATAGCAAAGTTAAATTAATGAATTTCAGTTAATCATGTTAACATTTGTTTCTCGTGTTCAGATTGACTTTGATTCTAATCAGACTCAGTGACAGTACATGAAACAGGGGAAAATAAAACAATTTATCAGTTTGTGTTAGGGATTACAAAACTTTTTTCTGTAAACCTCCAGATTTATGGATGCTATTGTTGCAACCAGGAATCTGTTCTTGCGGTATAATAGTACCCAGGGCTAATTCTTAAACTGCACCCCGGTAAATAGTTATGCTGAACAAACCTGGGGCCAGATTTGAACTCTAGCAGATGATTTTGATCACTTGGTGTACTGTATGGTTCATCCAGAGGCTCTTTGATAGATTTTGAAACAGAAGATACACAATGCTTTTGCTTGTACTCGATTCTGAATCGTCTCCATCAGCGGGTCTCAAGCTGTGGCTTGTGTCCCCTTTTGGTATTCAACATTCCTTTAACAGGGGTCACCTAAGACTATTGATAACAGGGATTTATATTACAATTCCTAACAGTAGCCAAATTGCAGATATGAATTAGCAACAAAAAATAATTTTATGATTGGGAGGTTACCTAAGCATGAGTAACTGCATTAAAGGGTCACATTATTAGGAAGATTGAGAAGCACTGAGCTACGTGTTCAAATATATAGTTGTTGAATGAAATACTTAAGGCTTTTGGTACTTGGCCCTTCATATTTTTTTTTTTGCAATTTTTAAAGCTAGGTGTTTTAGTACATTGAAATATCACCGTCAACAATGATTAAGGCATTCTCTGGTCGTTCATTCTTGATCTTCTAGCCGTGATGAGTTAAGCCTTCATAATATATATAGTAGTTAGTAGCTTTATTATGTTTATGTAAATTGTATGTGGCGTTTGTAGATGTATGATCTTTGTATTAATGTTTTTAAACTTTCTTTTTTAATATGGCACAGAGGTATTTCCAAACCAGTAGTTTAAGTTTGCAAAAACATGCTTTGCTCTATATGTGATATTGTTGATGAGATTGTACATAATTATATCACTATGAAAATATTGTGATAATATTATATCATCATCTATGGTTTCTGTCAATGTTGTGAAATTGCTCTTAAAGGTTATCCGGGCTAAGCCAGAGAAGTGGTGTCATGACAGTGCTAATTTTCATAAATGTGTTTACTATGTTTCAAAAACATTTAAATCATAGTCAATCTAATCAGTGAAATCGTGTTTTTAAAAACCTAAGCCTACTTTAAATGTTAAGTGGCCAAGATCTTACAAAAATAAGTACTTTTTTTAGATGTAAAAAAAACTCTAAATGTCTCCAAATTTTCCACTTCCTCCTAAATCCCTTGAGTATATACTATGGTAATGAGCTTTTTCTTTCTCTTTTATTTTGATAAAATTTTGGGGCTGTATGCTCTTTATCTAGTCTTCCTCTCTGCTGTCCTCTCACTCACCGTTTCCTTCCCTTTCTTCTCATCCTATTTCTGTTTATTTATGTCATGTAGTTCTCTGAGCTACATATTAGCTGCAGATATGATCTCCTAATTGTCCAATATTTTTTGTGCGTGTGTGTTCCTTTAAACCTGACTTAAAATTTAAGAACTCTGATGTGTTAGTTTTGCTTTATCATATTGCATTGTATTATACTAATTATATTATTATATTAATTATATCATAAAACTAATTTTTAAATTAACTGAATTATAAAAATAAATAAGTAAAATTGATAAAACTAATTATATATATAAATTATAAATTTATAGATTTAAAATTTATAATTTATAAATTATAAAATTATAGATATAGATTATATATATATATGTTGTTTTGAGACAAGATATCCGTATGTAGATCAGACTTCCCTTGTACTTTGTACTCACAGAGCTCCACTGAGCATGCTCTGCTTTTATATTGCTGGATTTAGAGGCTTTCATCACAATACCTAGTTGGTCCATTTCTTTAAATTAGAAGGTTTTTTGCGACTGTTTATCTTATTTTTTTTTTATTTAGTTGGTTTTGCTTGTTTTGCTTGTTTCAGTTTTTGTTCTTTTTTTGAGACAAGGTTTCTCTGAGCAGCCTTGGCTGTCATGGAGCACTCTTTGTAGACCAGGCTAGCCTAGAATTCACAGAGATCCATCTGTCTCTGCTTCTGGAGTGCTGGGATTAAAGGTGGGTATGCCCATTGCCCAGCCATTACTATTCTATCTCCTTGTTTATTTTCAGTTTCTTAACCTATTTATCTCTTCTTAGTTTAACTTTGGTGGTTTGGAGATATCTAGAAATTCACCCAATTGTTATAGAGTTTCTAACATAATAAAACATATGGGGCTTTTCGTTCTGCTGTTTTTATTTTTCTATTTAAATTTTTTTAATTTTACACACTAGCCCCAGTTCCCTCTCCTTCCACTTCTCCTACCCCACCTCCGCCATCCACTCCTCAAAGGAAGTAAGGCCTCACTTGGGGAGTCAACAAAGTCTGGTATACCAGGTTGAGGCAGGAACAAGCCTCTACTCCCCACCCCCATATCAACATAAAACAAAAACCAACAAAACAACCATAAACAAAAAACAAAACCTTAAGTATTTCAGAGGATTGTATGTATGTATGTATAACAACAATGAATGACAAAAAAGTTTATGAATATTGAAAATAGCAAAGGAGGTTTGTGGAAAGACCTTTGAAAGGAAGGAGTAAATGATGTAATTATACTATAATCTCAAAATATTAGTAAAAGAGGTTAAAGGAAGAAGTGCAAAGCCATTTTTCCAAGGTTAGCTGACATTGACAACAGTGTCTATGTGATCATGACTTAGAATAAAGCTCGGGAACTATGGGCCATTACCACATGCCAGCAGACACTAAAACACCATATTAATATGTGTAGACTATTTAAATCACACTAGAGTTGCCTTGCTATCCATACCTTTCACACTTTCACATATTCACACACAGTTTTAATTACATGGAGTTATGCTTGAGAATTTCTTAAGCCAGACCAGAAAGAGGTTTAATTGTAACGATAGAGTTATTTAGAATCAGGGTCTCCTGTATCTCAGGACAGGTTCAAATCCACTGTGAGCTATGGGTGACTTTGAACTTCTAATCATCCTGAATACACGTCCTTCACATTCAGTTTTAACATTTTAGGTTATAAAGATTTATACTTACTCCCATGAAGGAGGACCATTGATGAGTTATTTCCACTATTAGGGAAAATTAAAAAACATTTTCCATGAAGGAATCTTTATTTTTTTTTTTAAGCTTTCAAGTTTTTATTGTTTTACATTTAACTTAGTTGCAAATCAGCATGCCCCGGCTGGGGGTCGAAAGCTCTTTTCAATGTTGTGTTTAGTAGATCTGGAGCAAACTGCAATCACGAAAGTTTTTAATTTTCCCTAATAGTGGAAATAACTCATCAATGGTCCTCCTTCATGGGAGAAAAAAAAATTACACAAGCCCAACTTCTAGTAGAAGACAATTGTGGTCAGGGCATAAAGTACTAATTCAATGCTGTTTAAATTTCTAGAGATATCAAGCGTTCATTGTATAGATGTTCTTTCTTGATTGTGTAATTAATGTTTAAATTTTAATTTTGACAATAAATGAACTAAAAAGACAAAAAAAAAGATTTATACTTACTAAACTAGCTTCTTTTGTACTGGGAAAGCAGTGATAGTCATTGTATAATATTTTATTTATATTTATTTATTTATATTATTTCAAAGCAGGATTTCTTTACGTTGTCCTGGAACTAGTTCTGTAGACCAAGCTGGTCGCAAACTCACAGAGATCCATTTGCCTCTGCCTCCCAGGTGATGGAGTCAAAGGTGTGTGCCAGCATCACTTAGCCTTATTATGTAGCATGCCATATTGTTTAAATAAAATTTTATTTCCATCTGTAGCCTGAGGCCATATATCTACTTACTAGATATATTACTAGTAATATTGAATAAGTTAGAACCTAAAAATGGGATTAATTCAACCTCATGGTGAAATATATGAGAATCTCTTCTCCATTTTATTTTTATAAGAACCTTCTTCAGTTCCTTTATCAGGCAGGTATCACTTGTAAGAGTAACACATTTGATGATGCATACTACCATGCACCTAGTTAGCATAATGCAGGAAACTGTACAAGTAAAAGCCTGCCTTTAGTTATAGCTGCTACATTATCTTTCATAAATGCAATTACTACATGTTTCTTACTTTAGTGGGCATTGTCTTCTTTTTTAAACTATTAATCAAATTAATATATAAGTATTATTTCTCAGCATCATTGGTTTCACCTGTGTCCCTTAAAGAGTGACTAAAACACATTGATTATAGCAAAATTACTACAGATAAAACTGGTTTAGCAATTTAAAATTAGAGTCAATAATGTATGTAGCAAATGGATCATATTTATCTATTTATATTTTATTTTCTAAATTTCTTCATCTCTATGTTGTCTGGGTCTAAAGGCTAGGATAGGAGAGAAAGAAAGAATCTTGAATCGAGAATGTATTAACTTCAAATGAACTTGTAACTAATTCTTATTTTGCCTTCAGTTACTTATTCAAAGTATACTTGGTGTATATATTTTCTGAAAGACTCACCTAAATCAATTGGGAAACAAAGCATCGTGAGTAAGTGGAAAAGCACATGAATGGTTCATAAAGGAAGTGTAATGGATGGCCACAAACATAAAATACATTCAATTAAGCCAGTCTTTATTACTAAATGATTAACATTGAAAAAAAATGAATCCGAAGTATAGAGGACATGTTAAGAAATGATTTTCCCCTTTCACCTATCAGATTCCCAGAAATACTTAGAAATGAAATTTGAAACAATTTAAATTCCTGATAATGTTTAAAACGTTAATTATGGTAGACATATATGATGAAAATTAGCACATTTTGCTCACCAATTTCATTTTTAGATAATTACTTATAGCCTGTAATTAGAAGTGTAAAATTTATATAATAGTAAATATTCATCATAAACAATAATTATGCTTGTAATTATTTGCTTACTTGTCATTAATCATAGTTCATTTATCTAATTGGAATATGTTCAGGCATTATGAAAATGTATCAAATTAACTGATAAAAATCCCAGTTTGAAAAGTTCATTTGTTGCTGAGTACCAGTTATGTCTGAAGCAATGATGTATTTCTTCATATCAAATGCTATATGCATATATATTTTTGTTGTGGCCAATAAATTAATCTTATAGCAGTGATATTTAAAAATATCCATAGTGATTTCTGGTCATTATTTTGTTCTTATATTTAAATGGGTATATGATTGTTATTTATGTAATTTTCTAAATCCTAAGTATATGTATTTATATAAAACACCTTAATTATTGTATTTTTGTATAAAAAGAGCACCAATGAGATGGTTTAGTATAGATAAAGCCACTTGTTACCAAGACGGACAACCTGAGTCTGGTTTGTCACAAACACACACACACACACATACACATACACATATGCACACACACACAGAATAACATTTTTTTATTGGTTTTTGGAGACAGGGTTTCTCTGTGGTTTTGGAGCCTGTCCTGGAACTAGCTCTTGTAGACCAGGCTGGTCTCGAACTCACAGAGATCCACCTGCCTCTGCCTCCCAAGTGCAGAATAACATTTTAAATATATTTCACTTTAATTTTTTAAAAAAGAAAACAAACTATTTTCTTATATTTTCTATACCCATCCCAGTTACATTCCCTCCCCTCCTCCCATTCCCTCCACCTCCATCCCCACCCCACCCCCATCCACTCCTCAGAGAGGGTGAGGCACATTGCTTTGGGGAAGGCCCAAGGCTCTCTCTATTATATCTAGGCTGAGCAAGGTATCCATCCAAAGAGAATGGTTTCCAAAAAGCCAGTACAAGCAGTGGGGATAAGTCCTGGTGCCACTACCAGGGGCCCTGCAGTTTGCTCTAGCCATACAAATGTCATCTACATTCATAGAGTCTAGTTTGGCCCTATGCTTGTTCCTTCCCATTCTAGCTGGTGTTGGTGAGCTCCTATTATCTCAGGTAGACTGTTTCAGTCAGTGTACCCATCATGGTCATGACCTCTTTGTTCATATTCTCATCTTCCCACTCTTCAACTGGACCTTGGGAACTCAGTCCAGTGCTCCACCACGGGTCTCTGCCTCTGTTTCCATCAGTTGCTGGATGAAGGTTCTATGGTGACATGTAAGATAGTCATCAATCTGCCTACAGGGCAAGGCAAGTTCAGGCACCCTCTCCTCTATTGCATAGGGTCTTAGCTGGAGTATCCCTAGTGGATTACTGGGGATTTCTCTAGAGCCAGGTTTCTTGCTAGCCCCATAATGACTCCCTCAATCAAAATATCTCTTTACTTGCTCTCATCTCTGTCCTTCGTCCATCTAGTCTATCCTGTTCCTTCAAGTTCTCCTGTCCCTTCTCTTCTCCCATCCTCCTCTTCTTCTTCCCTTTCTTCTACCCCTCCCCTATGCTCCCAATTTTGTCAAGTAATCTTATTTATTTCAGCTTTCTGGGTGGATCTGTATATGTTTCCATTAGGGTTCACCTTGTTACTTAGCTTCTCTAGGATCATGAACTATAGGCTTGCTATCATTTGCTTTACAGCTAGTATCCACTTATGAGTGAGTACATACCAAGTCCATCTTTCTGGGTCTGGGTTACCTCACACAGGGTGGATTGT